GAACACACTAAAGTAAGGTTCAAACTCCTCTCTGTATTTTTTAAAATTACTAAGTAGTATTCGTGTACTTTGTTTTTCTTACTGTCACAAATTGGAAAGCAAATTCCGACGCTGGCAGAAGCTTGATTTCCTACCGTAGGAGGAGCATGAGGCTAGTGCAGTTTGAAACATCCCTTCCCATGTGTGTCTGTGTTTGTGTCTGTCCGTGTGTCTACACGTGTGTGTCTGTTTGGGGTGGGAGGAGTCTGTCTCGGGGAGAGGTAGCTGTAAAGTGAGTTCTCTTCTCTCCTGTAGGGTGGATATGCAGCCTACAGATATGCACAGCCTGCTACTGCAACCGCAGCCACAGCTGCTGCAGCCGCTGCAGCCGCTTACAGCGACGGGTATGTACAGAGCCAGAGCAAGCAGGCTCTTCAATGCCTTGAGCACCGTACCGTCTGCAGCATCGTCCCCTTTCCTCTTTCACCATTTCCAAAACTACCCTTAGTGCCTGGGCCTCCTGCCATGGCAGCACCCAGGCCTCTCCTCTTCCTGTACTTACTCTCTTGTTCTGTCTCTTCATGGGCTGTGATTACAGCCAGCCTCTTCCTCATCTGATCCCCTCTTTGCCATTTTATAGAAGTATATCAAGATTTCCTACTTACTGCATTTGGGAACAAAAATAGGAAGGCTTTTTCCATCTGCCATTTTCCCTAAGAGTTCAAGTCTGTAGCACAGGCTCCCCTTTCTCCATCTGACCATGCTTCTTTTTTCCAGTTACGGCAGGGTGTACACAGCTGACCCCTACCATGCCCTCGCCCCTGCCGCCAGCTATGGAGTTGGCGCTGTGGTAAGTTTATATATCTTTCGTCTTCTCTTTTTTCTGTCCTAGAACTAGCTCTGTAGACCAGGCTGGCCTCAAACTCAGAGATCTGGCTGCCTTTGCCTCCCAAGTGCTGGGATTAAAGGCCTACACCACCACCCAGCTTTATACCTGTTTTCTTAAGCCATGTTACTCCTAACTTCTACATAAAAACTTTGAAAGATCTGGGGAAGTGATGCATCGCCATATCATCCATTGCCAAAGTATGGAGGCCATTTGAGACTCTGGGAGTTTCTGTTGCTTTATTTACCTGTATATCTGAAAAGGCAGTGAGAAGGAAGGATTGATGGTGACAGACTTCCCCGAGTAATGATGTCACTTAGGAGAGGATGAAGGGAGTGGGTTCCAGTGCCTACTGTATACCAATAGCATAATGTTCTTGATAGTAGCAAAGGCTTGGGAATGTTAAGGAGTCCCATTTTCACTGTAGTATATTCAATTGTTAATTGCCAATACCTAAAGATGTCCCTGCTGTCTCAATGTCTTCTGGTATATAGTACTGACACTCATAGTATGGTAAACACTGCAGAGGCAGATTCTAGGAGCAGTTCTAGGGAAGTACATAGAGCAAGCATGTCTATAATAACCCATGGGACTAATGTTCTCACTCCAGCCCTCTTGTATTTGGCTTCTTAGATGCCTTTACTGCTGTTTGGGATTCACAGATACAAGGGCAGGCCACTCCATAATGACACCTGTTTCATTTCGTGCTGAACAATAAATCCCCTACACTGAAAGACCCAGAGTAAGATTCCTGGGAAGGTTCACATGAAAAGAAATAAGATACCTGAGAAAGTCAGTTGATAAAGGTGAGGAAATGACCAGAGTGGCATGCACAGACTCAACTACAGTATCAGGGAAAGATTGTCTTCACATGTGGACTCATCCCCCATTAGTCTCCAGACAGTACAGTACTTCAGCAGTTTGCAGAGTGCTTAACCTTGTGTTAGGCCTTTTGTGTACTGTGGAGATATGTCACCTGCAAAGGGTGTGTCTGGTTTTACAGGAACACTAACCCTTTCTAACAAAAGACTAGTTGAGTTTGGCAGTGCCCCATGGATATTGAGACAACTTTGTTTTATAGATTGTAGATAAGATCTGTTTCACTAGTTGAAAGGCTGCCTTAGATATAAATGTAGCATCATCTCAAGCACAGGACATGACCACCTTTGCCAAGGAGATGCTGAAAGTGGCGCTCTGAAAAGATTGAGTATAAGAAGGGGGGCAGCTGGACAGCTGCCATCAGGACACTAGTAGTGTCACAAAAGCAAACTTGTAGGACTGTCTTTGTAGAACCAGTTGGACACTATGCCAGGTGACTTCTCTGCCTGTCTCAGAACTTGTTGTTTCATTTCTAATGCTACTATCATCACCTTTCAATTACTTTTATGTCTTTAATTACTGCAGGCGAGTTTGTACCGAGGTGGCTACAGCCGATTTGCCCCCTACTGAAGTGACGTGAGACCCCTGCAAATGGGACAGCCCCCAGTTCATGAGGCCTGGCTATTGCAATATTTACTAGTAGAGGACTCTATAGCAAGTGAAGAAGAAAACAAACAAACAAAAAAGAAAGAATACTTTTTTATACCTCACTATGTTCTTTGAATATGTATTTTTCCTTTAAATTTCTGCCTTTAATTCTTTTGTTCCAAAGATTGTGCTTTTTTTTTTTTTGTTTTGTTTTGTTTGTTTTGTTTTTTTTGTTTGTTTGTTTGTTTGTTTTGAATGGGGGATTGATTGTTTTGGTGAGTTTGGGGGGTTTTTTTGGGGGGGGGTTTTGTTTGGTTTTTATTTTTTATTTTTTTTTTAACTGTGGTTTAAAAAAAAAAAAGAAGAAGAAGAAGATACTGCATTTCCACATCTGTATGTCCGTGCTTAGCTTATTCTGTCAGTCACAGAAGACAGGAGGAAGGAACTGATAAATGTATTTGATCAGAAGCCAGCAGTCAGAATTACCAAAGTGTATCTAGTACTGAATGGCTGGGGACTAGCAGAGTGAGCCAGCGGGCGGTGTGCTCTTCTGGCTGGCTTTGGCCGCCCGAGGCTCTAACTGGCTGTGGCTGGAATCCACATGCTGCTAGGTAGGAGGCTGTGCTTGTAAAACGGGAGAATTTAAAAGATGCTTTTCTCTCCTCTTCCCTCCTGTCTTTGCATTCTTTTTGCAATTATTTACACTTACAGCCTGGGAGTGCTGGCATGCTTTGGGAAGTACAGAGCTGGCATTTCCCAGCATGTTCTCAGGCTGTGGATAAGAGACACCTCAGTAAAACTGATCTTGGAATGAGTTCCAGAATAGGAAACACAAAATCCCAGCATTCCTTCTGGGCTGCTGCCCCTTTAATTGAGCCACTGTGCAACTCATCTATTCTTTTATTAACATGCTACTCCCATGTCCTCAAGATTCAGCAGTTTAGGACCCAGGGGCAGAAGAATGAATAGTCAGTGACCAGATTTCCTCCCAGATATCTGGGCACAGCTTGAGGATTAAAAGTACAAATTGTTCAGAGCCATTAAAGAATGTGTAAGAGAGAAAAGGGGATGTTCAGCCTGATATCCCTTCCTTTTCTTGCAGTACAGAGTCAGCACAGAGTAACAAGGGCATCAGAAAGCCTGTGCTGGGGCAAGATGAGGAATGAAGCCTCTAGGTCTGCTGTCCCTACAAGTGTGGTAATGAGTAAGTAAGGACAGGCAAGAGGCCCTTTGTACTCACTCCAAAGCCATAGGAATTTCCATCTTACAAAGCCTCTAGGAGTCTCCCGGCCTCTTGTTCCCTTGGGGAACATTAGCAGGACATGCCATGGAATCCAAGCCTACCTTGGAAGGAAGGTGTAAAATGCAAGGTCCTCCTGAAAGGTCCATGGCAGTGAAACCTGCCTTCAGTTTTATGTCCAAAGGACTTCTCCCCCAGATCTGAGGTGTACCCAAATAAATCAAGGGTCCCACAGAGGCTCCAAAATGAAGGCATTAGGAAATTAGCATGTCAGGTAGCTTCCTGGTCAGTTCACCTAAGGGCTGGCTGCTAAAGGGAGTTCAGAGACATGAGCTTCGGCTTTGTTTTGGTTTATTTCAGGTTTATTTTTTGCTGGGGTTTTGGTTCTTTTGTTATTGTCTTTGCCTCTGCCTCTACAAGTTTTTGACTGATAAATGACTCATGTCCCTGAATTAAAAGGCTGACATTTGACTGCATCAAGCATCCTCTGTGAGCCGGGCCCTGGCCTGTAGTTGACACATACCATCTTGCCCTCAGATCTCCTCCTGTTATATCTGAGGACACAGTATAGAAGCCAGAGACTTCAATGTAGTCATTGATTCTGGGACAGTGTGTAGAGTGGGAAACAAAACTGGCCATCCACTGACTGTTTATAGAGTCCCTTCCCCCAAGCCAAAGTTCAGTTTGTTGTTGCTATTATGACAGTTTTCATTGTATGTACGTAAATATTTTAATTGGGAGAAGGTGGGCTGGGGCCTCTTGGAATTCTAAAGAATGAGAACAGAGGGACTTTTATTTCATTTTGAGAAATTTCCTGACTTAAAGGAATAGAAATTTTGGGTCATGTTTAATAAGGGCCATTCTCACAAAAAGGCACACCCCTTCACCCAGTGGAGACTAGGCCAGTTGCTCAACAGTTGTATCTACAAAGGGGAGAAAGGGGAAAAGAATTGAAGAAGCCTTTTCTCCTAGACAGGAATAAGGGTAGCCATGGCAGGGTGAGGAAGGCAGCTCCCATGACCTGTGCTGGAGGGGCCTTCATGCACTTCAGTTCAGCTGGTTCTGGCTGAGGCTTCCAAGGCCGGTTGTTTGCCAGTGTGTCTCTGCTGTGTGTACACTCTCCCATGCCATTTCCTCAGCTTCTTTTTCCAAGGAAGACTACATAGAGTTGGCTTTTTATGCAAGGGTCTTTGGATTTCAGGGTGAGCGCTGAGAGTTGGGGCTCCCCCAAGTGTCTGGATTCCAATGTATCTGCTTCATGCATGGTTAGTCTTCAAGGCCACAGGGCTGGCATGTTGGACTGCTAGGAAGCAGGCTAGAGGAGATGGCATTTTGTGACAGAGGATGCTGGGTGATGGTCTCAGAAGGATCACTGATGCTGAATCTCGGTATGAGGGCATCTCCAGGTTCACAGGCATTTGTACCCTGAGCTTTCTGTGCTGCTACTCTTACTTTAGAAACTGGGCTCCTTTAAGGAGATGCGTAGTGAAAACGTCCATCTGGCTGTCCCTCTTTCAGCCTGTAGAGCTGCCTTAGGTCTTTTCTAGAATTTCTGTGTTACTCAGTTTGACCTGAGCCCAGGTCCACCATGTTACTTGTCGATTTTAAGGTTCTCAGGTTTCCCAGAACCTCCTGTCACCAGTCACCATCACCCTGCAGCAGCCACAGTCTGAATTGAGCCAATGTGTTTTCTTCCCTTGGAAACAGCCTGATGCTTGGCTCTCAGTTTAAGGGGAGTTTGTGGCTTTTCCGAAAATGTGGAACTGCTTAGTTTAGGCTATGCTTTCCTAGAGGCGGAGCCTGCAGGTCCGTGACCACCTCCATCCTGCAACTAGTCATGTAGCTTCCAGGCATAAGGGACTGTAAGGTGAATGGCACAACCCCAAGGATACGCAAGAAGAGCATAGGATGCCCTCCTTCCTGTGCCAGGCAAACAGGACCAATCGAGGGCAGTCTGGAACCACAGGTGTGTCAGGAGGGGCAGGGAGCTGCCTGCTGAACCTTCCCACTACTCTAGCATGGCAATGTTTGCAGAACTGCAGACATTCCCCAGATATTAGGAGGAAAGGGGGACTTTGGGGGGTGGGGAAGGGGTCATGGTGTTTTAAAGCATAAGTTACCTGTTTGCACTGTTTTCAGATAGGAAACAATAGTGGGCACGGTGAACATCTAATGTAAACGTGTGTTTTATTTTGTCATGCTCTTGAGAATGTCTGACCATTTGTAGTATACACCAGTGACACTTGATTCTCTGTTGCATAAAACACTATATTTTTGGAAATGTTGCTGTCCGGAAGCCTCTTCCCACACCTTCCCTCTCCTGTGTACTTCCTTCACCCTTGCTTTCCTCATCAGCCAGGCAATTGCCATTCCCGAGCCAGAGCGGGAAACAGGGCCCCGTCCCAAGCAGGCTCTGGGTGTCCTAACCAGCATGTGTCCTCTAGGTTACTGAGTGCAGGACAGTCCTTGGCAACTTTTCTTTTGAAAGGCTCACCAACTACCACAGATTTGCCGAACTCTTGAGTGAGGCACTGGAAGTGAGCCAGGGGGCACAGGTCCCTGAAATATTGTGGTTGGCTGTAGAAGCCATGTTCTTATGCAAGTTACCGAAACTGTAGCCAGTTACAGTGTACTCAGGAAAAACGGTAGATGAGTTCAGCCATGGTGGTGCTGGCTGGCAGGGATTGGTAACTGAGAACTGCTATCAGCCAAAACTCCAGCTTGCCTTGACAAAGACCTCCAGCCTAGGGGACAGCCCTCTTGTCTGGTAGTTCTTTCTGTATACGCCAGCACTGGGAGGGCTGCATTCACCCTGGCAGGCAAAAAGGGAACAGCGATGCTCTCCTTCCCCTCCTCTTCCGGTTACCAATGCCAGATTCCCAGGGCACGCAAGTTTTTGAGTTTTTCAGAAAATGCTTTTGGTTTGGTTTTTCTGGGGACTAACATGCTCTAATGGCTGTCTGTCCCCATCAGGACTCCTAGCTTAGCTATTTGTTTCCTTGTATTTTCTGTTCACAATATTTTTGTGTGTGTGTGCTTGTTGGGCAGCTCATTCTGGCTGCATTATATATCGAGTGATGAACTGATCCCTCTTTTTTCCCCTAAGGGACATGAATTTTCCCCTTCTGTCTCCATTATGCTTGTGAATAGCTAGAGCCAACCTGGGGCTGACACGTACAAAGCTAGGCTTCTAGGTTTTTGAGTCTCAATCTTTCCAAGGCTCAAAGTCCTGCAGAACCTCTCTTCTCCACACCCCTGTGGCAAAGAGTGGCCTGCGGAGCAAGTGCAGTTTCCCCATGGCAAGACAGGCACCACTGGGGCATGGGGGCATACTCGGATACTTGTACAATTGACCACCTAGCCATGTCTCCTTCCCTCCTGTCCTCTCCCACAATCACCCCCTAGGACACCGGAGCTGCTTGCCCAGGGTCCTGTTTCCCTGCTAACTCCAGAGAAGCACCCAGGGCTTTGTGACAGCCTCTGATTTCCCCCCTCTCTCCCTCTCCCTAAGAACCATATTGTATAGTAGCTTTCAGACCATACAGTATTCATTGGGTTACTCCTATTATTATCAAGTAGCTGGAATTGTGAAGGTTGGAGTAGTTAGATCTTTAGCTTTTATTCCTTATTTTTTGTATTACTCTCCATGTGTATAAATTATTGATCATGTTGCTGGCTTTTATAAACTCTAAGCAAAGGAGGGGCCCTGCCTCAGCCTTTGCAAACGGTAATGAAGCACTGTTTTTAAATAAAAGAGAGAAACACCACCTCTGGCTGCATGTGCTTTCTTTCTGGCTTGAACCTTGGGCTCTATTAGGGAAAGAGGAAGAGAAGCCAGAGCACTTCCTCCTGGAGCTGGGAGGTAGGTGACCTTACCAGCTTCTCTGGCTGCCAGCATGTTTCCTTCCACCTCCTGGGGTCCTCCTTG